TCACACTCTTTCAAATAGATGCAAGTAAAACAGCAGAAAATAAATAAAATCAAAGATTCAGCAGAAAAATCTATTGTCACCTGTTTAGCAGGACTGGGGCGGGTGGAGGTTGGCCCGGCGCCTAACCCTTACTTTACTCATTACCTGAAAAAGGTAATCAAATCACAGAAACACGTTACTTTTAACGCGTTATATCTCTGCATATTACCCATAACTGCAACCACGATTCCACATGTAATCAATTATATTGGTGTGAATAGTCATTAAGACTTTGGTCAGACAGATGCATTTATACACGTGTGCACACAAACAAGAACAACTGACGTGTTTGGCAAATGCCTCCAACAAGGTTGGAGTGATGACGGCGAGTGTGCAGCACATCAAATAAAATGGTCGCCAAAGTTATTTGTTGATCCACCCACCTCGACCGCATGGGTTACCATGGAAACTCTGTTCTGTGCTATCATGAGCTGTCTGGTCAACTGACCCAGGCCAGAACACCGTACATTCAGCCAATCCAACGACCGCATGCCACTGGGAACTAACTGTCAACAACAGCAAACAGTCCATTCACTGCAAATGTTTACGAGAAGACACCGGCAATAAGGGCTGAACATGCAGAGGAAGAAGCAGATGGACATTAAGGTCTAATGGGCTGCTTCTGGTACGAACCAAGTGTTTTTCATGCTGCCTATCTTCACAGCTGCTCTGCAAAGTCCTGGCACAGATGGCTAGTTGTGGAAGAAGTATCAGGAAACAATTGTCAAGAACAACTGGTAATTTCCTGTTGCTGAGATGTGACAGCTGAGCCTAGATCAGGTACATCCACTGAACATCAAAAATACACAATCATCATGATTATATATGACAAACTAACAAATGTCTAATGAGACATGTACGGTGATGACGCCACCGGGAATGGTTTTGAACCTTGCAGTAGTCGTTAGCAGTGCTGTGCATTTCGACCTCATGTTTTCTGCTGTCTTAGGCTTTGCTCAGTGAAATGTGAAGTTTCTCTTTATTCAAATTCAGATACTGGAGTGTTTTTGAAACTAAACTATAAAGATTTGGCCGTAACAGCCCACTTCTCTTCAAGTCTTCTGGGGTTTTTCTCTGTTCGGTCTCTCTATGCACTAACTGCCACAAACAGCAGCTGTAAGCATCTCCTTATTTCTCATTGTCTGTGGCATCATGACAATCAGCTGCTGATTTAATCAACTATTAGCCACTACATACAAACCCTAACAACTCGTGTGTTCATTCGTGAAACTTTAATCCTCAGCACAGGGTCACATTCTACATAATTCAGAGCGTAAATATTTTTGGTAAATTAAACTGTATATTTCAATCTTTTCAGACTGCAATAACCAAAAAATGACTTCTGACTGATATTTTTACGTTTCACAATTCGCACACAGCTTGCATAAATTTTTATTTGTACTTATTCAAACCAACACTACGAAGGTCTCCTTCATTATCTGCATTAGACCAACTTCCTGTTAATCGTTAACCAATATGGCTGGTAGCACATGTTCTAGACAAGAAGCAGGTACAGGAGGGACCCTGTGAGATGTGGGAGTGATTACAACATTTAGAGTGCAGAAAGATGTATGAACAGAGAGTATGCAAAGGGATAGAGCAAAAATGAACGGGACTTTTATCCTCACTGAATGATTGCTTAAGTGCATCGCTTTAGTCTGCACACAAACACAAGGCCAAATAATCTTTAAAAGTCTTGTCTAGATTTACACTCTGTCCCTTAATTTCCTCTGTAATGGATCCCTGATTGTCGTGGAGGAACAACCCACCAGCCCGAGCCCAACCCAAGCAGTGTGGTGGCCCCTGAGGGCAGGCTGGTGGTCCTTGGCCAGTGTTTGTGAAAGGGCCCCAAGCTGCATGCACCGTGGCAAATGAGGCGCGTGACTCATCAGACCAAACATGGGATTAGCTGGTAATGATCTGGCAAATGGTTTTGAAATTGTAATTATCTGGCCTTCAGCTGGATCTGCTGGGAGGCAGGGACACATAGAAGGACTGACAAAAAAGGAGATAGAAAGCAAAATGATAGTTATTATTTGCTACGTGACATGCACATTAGCAAAAGTCTCATTTAAATATAGCACAGTTGGGACTAACAGAGAAGACACGCACGAGATTCAAGCAGACGGAGAACTTAAAGAAAAAGGACTGAAACATGAACATGGAGAGGCAACAAACACTTTCACATCCTAACACATGTCCACTCCAATCTGACATAACTGAGCTCTAACTCTGTGTTGATATTCCATCCAGGCAACAAAATAACATCCACAAAGACTGATGTAACCCGCTCAGTCATGACTGCTGACCTCTGCTGCCACCTGCAGGGAGGAACACAGAACAACTTGTAGCGATGCCCACTAAAGTTCCACGTGCTGGGTTTGAGTTACTGCAAACCCAGCACAGCAGCAAAGCAAGGAAAATATCAAATAACACAAGTCCAAGTAAGTAATGAACCAAGAACACATATTATAGTTTTAGACTGCATTTTACCAAACAGTTGGAGTTCACTGAAATATTCAATAATACCCTTCATGAAGCCATCATTAATGTTACTGCTCTCTACCAACCCGCTCTCCGTGAGTCTTGACTTGGTACATACAGACTTTTATTGTGAAGGTTGGGCACTCTTGTCCATTAATCCTCTTAGCAGATTAGCCTTTGAAAAGCAAACCCTCCAGCTGCCATGATGTCTTTTAGCACAGTAGTAACATTGAAATGAAGATGCCACGTTTCCACAATGCCAGCTGACAACCAGACAGATTCAGACGAGGAGGAGGAGGAGGAAGATGACGGCGGGAGTGAGGGAGGAAATAGTTCATCTGTTGTCACTTTTTTCAGCAGTTTAATTTCAGGTGTGTTTTCATGTCAGTGTAACTAACCCGACTCTATTCAAGCTAACTTTGAATTGTTGTGAGTTTTTCTGAATGGTGTAATCAGCGTTGTTTTGGATGCAGCTCCTCTTGCTCTGTAGTGACACCCTACCAAAGACATCACACAGTGTCACCAATGTTTTGCTGATGTTGTTTGTAAATGTCTTACCTGCAGCAGCCCGAGGAAACCCCGAGGCCTGTGCTACAAGGCAGGGTTTGGGCTTATCTGGGTAACTCTAGAGTTCACTCTGAGCCTTCTGTACTATGAAGCAAGTTCAACATATCCAGAGTATCTTTTCATGACCTGGAAGCACTTCCCCTAACACTGACGGTCAGGATAAGTGGTTGCACGATGCTGGTTATCAGCCTGCTAAGTTAACCTGGGGTTTACTGATACAAGCGTGTCCATATGAAAGAGTTGTGTTGGAAACATCTATCTAGTGCACTGGCAGCTGAATTGTAGAATAAACTATAGATTTAGAAAAATACACACATAATACAGAATGAAAGCAACAAAACATAATTAATTGATGAAAGATGAAACTCACTTTACAGTGTTTACAGTTGGGGCAGATTGCTGCCTGTTTGGAAGGTTCTTCCTGTTAAAAGGGAGTTTTTCCTTCCCACTATTGCCAACTGTGTGTAGTCTGAATGTTGGGGTTTTCTCTGCGTTATTGTAAGATCCTTGTCATACAATATAAACCTGGAGGCAACTCTTGCTGTGATTTGGTATTATAAAAATAAAACTGAGCTGAAATGAATTTATTTAAAAGTATGAACAGCATTAATGACTTCGGTCAATAAGACTGGAAAGAGGCTTTAGCTGATTTGAAGTCTAGAAAGAAGCTAAACAACTGGGAAGTCCACAAACTTATGACTGTCTCACTAACTACTGACTGTCTCAGCTCTCAGACACGGGAGAATCTGGTGGATCATAATCGAGCATTTTCTTAAATTCATATTTT